CGAGACGGCGTGCGGTTTTAGTCGGTTCGAGTCCGACATGCCACCGATAGGTGGTATCCGAGGGGATTTCCGCACGGAAAAAAAAGGCGTCTTGGATTTGGTGATATATTTTTTAAATTATTTTTATATTTTAACAATAACTACAAAAGTATTAACGTTTTAATTACAAGTAATTAAATAAGTAACTTAATTTCATATTAACTTATGTGTTATCCGTATGTATGGTGACGGATTAAGAATACGGAATGTCACCACCCCTATTCATCCCGTGGGTGTCGTAAGAGCCGACTAAGGGACCAAACTACAAGACAGCAGCATTGCAAAGAGAAGGAAAACTTGAAACAAACCCTATATCAACCCGTCTGGCCAGCGTGGTATAGTAGGCCAAAACCTCATTTCTAAGGAAAGGCTTATGTCCAGCGGTGGACTGTTATAGGCTGTTGATGTGATGTGACATTAGCTTTAATAAATACCGATCGACGACTTCCAATTTATTCACAATGCACATGTGTGAATCATAATTTTATCATATCTTCAATAATTAATGTGTTTTTAACGATCAAAGAAGTTATTAAAACCTACTGTTTGTCATATTGAATTGACATACCTATGCAACAGAAACTAATAGGTATATTTTTAATGGAAAATAAGGAAACGTTAATTCGCTTCGGTTTCCGGCAATAGTTAAATTAATTTACAGGTATGATCTCTCCAGTTTTTCTATTCCTAACATTACCCAATGTATAAACAATATCCCTCCCCTTATGAGCCTTCCCTTACAACATTCCTCTAAATTATCCCATGTAATCCCTGAAGTATGACTAAAATCATAGTTATAAAATGTGAGCGTTTAATAAACCTCTGCCACTATTTTAGCAACAAGTCTGCACTCTTTTTTTATGGTATAAGAGGGCAAACGAGCAGACGGGTCACCTGATGGTAAGCAACTACAGCTGCCGATGGACACCTGCAACTCAAAAGTCACAAGAGCGTTGCTGCCCTTGGATTCCCTCCCGCTCAAGTCAGCGGGAGGGGGGATTTGGGCTCCGGTAACCTCAGTCACTCAGTGAAAGGCAACGAAAGAATTGCTTAACAACGGTTTTCTGTGAGACCGTAGTATCACTCCGGTCGAGCCGGCCCATTCGTGCCGAAGCATGGCTCTCCCACAGTAACTCCCTAAAATTATAATAATAACCACAAATTTCTCACAAGGCCGTCTGATCCAAAATTTACAAATAACATAACATGTGTATACAAAGAACCCGTTGCAAGTGGTGTTTGCCTATAATTGGCTATGCAGTTAGATTTAAGACACAAATACTTGTATGTTTCATTATCATCAGCCTATTGTCACTGCTGAACGAAGGCATTCCCCAAGGAGCCCCAACCATGTTCTTTTCTGCATTGTGTCTGTTACAACTGTTGATGACCCTTAATTAAATTTATAAATATATATAAAAACTAAGCAGAGCCGGATTACGGTAATAAGACTGCCAGTAAAAATAAATATATCCAGGTAAATCACACCCATACATTGAACAAATTATCGTGCTCATCCAACAATTCTTTGTCCTGGGTGAGAATCAAGCCAGCAGTCTCTGGGTTAATAGTCCGTATCACTACCCAAAGGGCCCGTCAAAATCAAAATATAAATGAATCTTTTTACAAAAATAACAATGGCATCAAAAATAAAATTATAGTGTCATTACAAACGATCAACATCTAAAATAAAGATTCAACGAATTGTCTCCAAGAATCGTAAGATCCTGTTGATGAAGTAAACTCTAATAATATAGTACCAATCAACGCGGCAGACTTGGCGTCTATCACATACCTTGTACATCTATACAAATAAATAAAATTGGAGTGTCTGTTTGTAATATTAAAATAATCGCTTTTTACTAAATGCATATGTATGTTTACACGGTACATATGCCAAAATAACATTTTTTACAATTTTTGTCTGTCTGTTTGTTTGTTCCGGGTAATCTCTGGAACGGCTGGACCGATTTCGACGGCAGATAGCTGATGACATAAGGCGTAACTTAGGCTACTTTTTTTAGACTAGCTTCGCCCCGCGGCGTTGCCCGCGGTTATAACAACAAACGCGGGTAACACCGCGGGTCTCAGCTAGTCGTAAATATAAACATTGCGAAGTTGTATTTTTCTGCGAATACTGAACACGTGCTTTATGGCTCGTGATGACGTGATGACTCACACATACGCACTGCACTATACATACGTCTATGTATAGTGCAGTTTATGTGCATTATTATCAACATTATTTCAATTTTGGTGGGTTAAGTATTTTGTTTCGCATTCCTCAGTCATCCAAGTACATGAAGCTTTGCAAATCGAAGTCCTTTAGTTGTATTTGCGCAATGTAGCACAAGATGATGTACACACATACAAACAATACCCATATAGAGTAATAATAATAATATCTCACACATCTCAAACACGGCCGTCTGATCCTAAACTAGGCAGAGCCCGTACTATGGTAACCAGACTGCTGATAAACATGCTTATATATTTTTAAATATATACATATTATAGATAAAGTACACCCAGAAACAGAAAAAATGACTGTGCTCATCACACAATATTTGTCCTGGGTGGGAATCGAACCCACGACGTTGGTATGGTCAGTACATCCATACTTTTGTTTGTTTTGAAAGAGTTTGTTTGTTTGTTACGCATTCACGGCTAAACTACTATACCGTTTTTGAAAATTCATTTACTAATGGAAAGCTACATAACTGACATTCACGCGGGCAATTGGTAGCAATTATTATAGAGTTCAGTAATGATCCTTGAGGAGTTTTGGAACAAACAAATAGTGACTGCTTTGATCGAATAGTAACTGGCGAAACATTCTTTGCTACTTGTAGATTTGACAAAAAACTATCATCTCAAGGTGCTATTGTGTGTCGTAAATAAATGCAAAACGATTTATGAGATTGGCAGGAGCAGCAAAGTTAAAAAAGAGATTTTACGGTAAAGAGACAAACACGAAGCCACATATTAGTTAGAAGCCACAGTTTAGTACGAAATTCGGCGACATGATCATATTTGTCTCAGCCAAGAATGATATAGAAATGATTTAATTGGTGCTCATTGAGATCGAGATAGCTGACGTTGAAAGTAAATTACAGAATCATCCAAAAGAAGCCACAGAGGCAAACATTTTGCGACTTATCCATACCTTCAAATCAAATCAAATCCAATAATTTATTTTGCGAACATGGGTATGCATATTAAGGTGTTGATAAAGGTATAACAATGAGCAGCCACATTCTACCTCAAGGCATGCAATTTTTTTTTTAGTTTTTACAATAATACATAATAAAAGAAAAATATAGGTATGCTAAATTTGCGTAGTCAATTTATGATACAATAAATTTAAACAAGTAAATGTCAGCAATTTCATGTCAAAACCATTGTTTCCCTTTATACAATTCTGTCATTCATAAAGTCAGTAACACTATAATAACATTTCGGAACCAAGATATTTTACCGTGTTTATATTATTAAAACTGAAAAGTTTGTTTGGTTGGTTGAAAACGCTAATCTAAGGAACCACTGGTTCGAATTAAAAATATATTTTAGGGTTGGATGGCCCTTTATCGAAGACTATAAGGTTTATAATATGATGCTGCGACATAAGGGAGTTGAGCATCAATGAAAAATGTTGAAAAAAACGATGAAAATTTGTTCTTTTTGAGACGCAGACACAGTTGCGCTAGTATTTTTTATATGAACACTCCACATGAAGGGGTTTTGTCCGTGTAAGTTAAATAAATTAAAATAATATGCTTAAAGGGATAAACACCGTGGAAAGTCACTTGTGAGAGTGCCGAACAATTAATTTTACCAGATTTTTTTTGTGTTTAAGAACGCATTGCGGCTTTTGTTTTCCTTTCAGAAAAGGTCCCATGTTTTACTTCAAAGGTGGGGATTTTGTATACAGGGTGTAGGAGACGGTGACGAAGAATTCAATTAATTGCAATTTACTACGAATTGACTTTGAATCGGGTAAGTATCCGTTTAAAAACAGATGTTTGATGGGTTACTACTTTTTCATCAAAAAAATTGCCAAATTATCAAACCATTTTTTCATTTGCCAAATAATTACTTAGCAAATAAATTCTTTACAAATAATTTAATCGCAAATTTAATGTTTGGCAAGTGAATGTTTAAACAATAATTTGCTTAGCAACTAGTCATCATCAATAGCCTTTAATAGTCCACTGCTGGACATAGGCCTCTCCTTAGAAAGGATGTTTTGGCCTACTATACCACGCTGGCCAGACTGGTACGTGGTGGTACTGTTGTTGACGCTGGGTTGGTATAGGGTTTATGTCAAGTTTTCTTTTTCTTTGCAGTGCTGTTGTCCTGCGTAGTTTGCTCCCTTAGTCGCCTGTTACGACACCCACGGGATGAATAGGGGTGGCTACACCCCGTATTCTTAATCTGTCACCACACGGACATAGCAACTAGTACTTTTACTAATTTTAATGTAGTCAAATATTTCAGTTGGTATAACATATTTTACGCAAAATAAAATAAAGCCAATAATTTCTGGTTTACAGTCAAAAATATGTTTTTGGCTGTTGTGTGGTCACATTTCAAACCTAACGTAGCTGTTTCTATTAAAAAAAAAAGATTTATACGTATTATGTTGCAAATTTCACTAAATTTTAATTTTTGTCTTTATATGACCAAAAGCCATAACACAAATCATTTGACTAAATGTTTATTATCTAAAGATTGTTCGCTGTTATAAATCATTTGTTTAAGACGAAATGCCTTAACGACATTTACCTCGGTAATATTCTGACTGGTAAAAATTTCACCAAATGAAATGTGCTCATTAAAATCATTCCATATAAAAACAGGGAAAAAAAGATTGCCAAAATTAGTTGGGATAATGATTTTGGCAAAACGGCAGATGTCCATATTCGATATATATATACAAGCGAGTAGATGTGAGCACGTACCGTCCATGGAGCGCGAGGAGAGCTTCCTGTTGGAGAGCGTGCGCGCGAAGTGCGGCGGCGCGCGCTGCGGCGGCGCGGCGCGCGACTCGTAGTGCGTGCGCCCCGAGTAGCGGAACCGCGAGCCCAGCCGCGGGAACAGCGTGCTCTTCGCCACCGGCTCCGGAGACATCAGCCTGCACGACCAAACATCCACACTCTAACACTCACTTCGAGAAGGCTTTCGATTCACTTGTAAATACGACTTTCAGTACTTTCGGTCACAGAGACATAAACCTTTAAGCAGTAATATAAACTTTTCAGTAAATGATTCATATTACAAGCAAAATACAATAATTTATTGAAAAATTTGCTGTCTAATTAAGCAATACTATAAAGTGTCTCACAGGGACCACCTTTAGGTCCAGGATAAAAGTACCACTAATTGCGTCTGATTTTATTTTAATCCACCATTTAGTTAATGATAATATAAAAAGGTATTTAATAAACTTCATTATTAACTGGATAATAAACAATTACTTTGTGATAATACTGAAATCATCTACTGACCTGAAGAAAGTATGATGTTCAACGCAAGTCTTCCACAGTTTCTTGGCTGCACGATGATTGGCGAGCTTAAATCCGACAGTAGATTCAAACTGTTCGAATTCGCCGGGTCTCAGCTTCACGTAAAAATTATGTCGCTTGTAACTGATCTTCAAAATTTTTGGCCATGCAAAACGATTAATACGAAGTCTGAAAATAAAATAAAATACCCTAGAAATCGTGTTCTAAAAAAAATTATACATTAAAAAAAAGTATTCTTGTTGGTTTGATTATGTTAAGTTTTCAGGCCGTAACTACTTATTTCTTATCAACAGCTTTTAATAGTCCACTGCTGGACATAAGCCTCTTCTTAGAAAGAAAGTTTTGGCCAATTATACCACGTTGGCCGGGTTGGTATATGGTGGTCACTACTTATTTGACGACATAAAATTTTGAAATCAAGTTTTTAGCGATACAGAAAAGAACACGCAATACGCTTTCCGATTCTTATCTATACATAATTTAAAGCTGACTGTTGTAGAGTATGCTTTTATTAGTATTAAAATTGCCGTTACACATGAATAACAATGAATACGACGAGATGTGAAAATTCCGCACGGTAAAATTTTTGTTGTAAGTTTATATACGAATATAAGGCTAACTGTTCTACTCACTTCTCCCTATGGACCAGGAGTCCAGAAGAGCACACCCCAAGAGTGATGTCAACATTCTCCGAATCCTTCGCAGGGTGTAGATCGACCCCATACATTGCCAGTTTCTTTGCGTTCTCCAAATAATTGAGTTCGGCTTCAGCTGGCGTCTGCCCTCTGTAGAATAACATAAGTCAATTGTCACTCAAGTTTTCAAGTAAGTTATCCGATATTAAATCCAAGATCTGAAAGATATACTCCAAAAATCTATTTGACACTGATTTATTTTAAGTTATGGAGAGATTATTGTAGTGAAAACAAAGTGAAAAATAAACATAAAGCCTTAGTAATAAAACATATCGAAGTTCCTTTGTTGGTGTTAGGATAAATAAACTGTTTTGATCAAATTTTGTTTAATAAATTGTAATGATCTTTATAAGCATTTTGAGGAGGCAAGATTGAGCAACCTCAAAACGCATCAAAATCGTTGCCTAACCATGAAAATGTCGAAAGAAACACCTCATTTAATGCGGATTTAAAGTGAGAAAAAAGAACTTACTTATGAGTTTTGTGCAGTTCAACCACCTTCTCTTCAAGTTCGGGTGTACAAGATGCAGCGGGCACCAACTTCAACTGCTTGCACAACCCGGCACCAACCTCCTTTTCTTCATAGTCTCCAAGCTCCGATTGCAGCAGGTAACTAGCGAGAAGCGCGTGTGTGACTGCTGAACATGGTAAGCGACCTAGAACAGATATAGATATTGTAAGTTAAAAAGTCAATAAGAAGGGATCTTGGGGGACAGAGACATCGCCAGCATCATAACCATTATCACCACATGATAAACAACTTAAATATTCACTACTAAACAGAAGCCACAGCACAATATTCATCCTCAAACATAAAAAATACCTGATATGCTATTTGCCATTACGAGCACATGTATAAAATAGCAGTATGCAGAGTACAGATGCAGAGTGTAGATAATTTCTTCTTTCCCAAATTAGAAAACACCACTTCAGTAACTTCATTCTATAGAAGGTCGTAGTACTACAGAATTTTCAATTGAAATTGGTGAAATGGGTAATTAGCAAAAACCACCTCCTCCGCTCCAACACTACCACTCCTTTTCAGGTTGGCCACTGTTGTTTTGGTTAATTGTTCTCACCTTCAAGCAAGTCCTTCCTAACTGCCAGCACTAGTTGGTACCTGGTGAGTTCCTCCTGCAATGTTGCCGGTTCAGGCGGATAGAACTTGACTGAGAACCTCACTCGCCAAGGTTCATCTGTGGAAAAAAAGATGCGTATTTAATGAAGAATCAATGTTCCATCACCGCCGGTCGAAACTTTGCATTCTGTCATTATTTACAGCTATTTCAGAGAAATATTTCTTAAAAGGGACTCATTTTTTGATTTCGTGGACTGAATTTTTTTTCTATTCCAAATCAACGTTACAACATAAATACGATGTTTATTTCTTTTTAGGGTAATATTAAAAATTTTAACACCTACGTAAATGCAAGTTTTATTACCTTTCTAAACTGACTACTCCGTGTTACAAAGTCTCACTGAAGAAGGATAACTAACGTTCTAAGGAAATCTGGGCGATATCAGAACTGTAAGACCGAAATCTAAGTCCTATTCACCAGTCAGATACTGCGCTAAACTATTTAAGAAAGAGAATCTTACGTTTGATCATCTTGGACACTCTCTTCTCGAGGTCTATCCAAATGCGAGGGTCTCCTCTGTCTTCGTAGAGAAGGCCAAAATAGTCCTTTTCCACCAGGTTTAAGTTGTCACACACTTTTCCAAGCAGTTCCTGGCCTCTGATCTTTCTCTGGAACACAAAACAACCAAATTGATTCATCAACGCCACCTGTTATTTTCCACAGCCTGGTTAGCTATTAATGACCGTAAAATAAATAATGTCAATCTCAAGACGAAATAATGATACTCTAAGTAATATCAAAATTAGTTTCTTCGCTAGCTAGGGCGCATTCTAGTTCCTCAAATATTCTATACAGTGAAAAAACAATGTATGACAGGAGTTAGATACTTGTTTCCAAACGTAGCGAAAGTGGTACTTTAATAAAATCACACAGATCTATTTACTTTATACTATAAAATAAACTGCAACTATTAAACACGATTACTTTGACGGCTACATTTGCAATTACATATTAGTAAAGCTTCCAAAAAGACTGGGATTTTTTATGATCAAATAACTTTTTAAGTTAAGTCTTAAAAGTAAATTAATTACTGTCATGATGAGAATCACTGAATAGGATCAAACTGAACTCAGATCATTGAAACAGTTTGTTTCTATGATCTGAGGTATTGACCACCAACCAACTAGACAATTTAAAAATAAATTTCTGCAGTCAACTTTATACTTACATCGACATCCAGCTCCATTGTCGACCCGTCCAGCAGCTCCACCCTGACATGGGTGGTGTTCCCAGAAGGCCGGCGCCTAGGAGACGCCTCCTTCTTCTTGCCATCATCCTTGGCCACGCTCTCCGGCATCCTGCCGCGCGACCTTCACGCACTAGAAATAAAGAAAACAGTTTCTTAAGTTTTTAATGCAAACTTGTAGATGAGACGATTCCGTGTGGTGACGGGTTAAGAATACGTAGTGTCACCCCTACTCATCTCGTGGGTGTCGTAAGAGACGAAAAGGCAGAGAGAAGGAAAACTTGACACAAACTCTATACCAACCCGTCTAAGGAGAGGCTTATGTCCATCTGTGGACTACTAAAGGCTGTTGATGATGATGAACTTAATCAATAATAGTTAATGTTGTCGCCTAAGAGCTTTGTCAGTCATGAACCGCGTCGAAAAATTCTTTTTTTTATTTGAGAGGGTACTCTCATTGGATTCTGGTTAAATTTGAACAGAAAATAGCACCCCTGGAAAATTAGAAAATTAAGAATACAGTTTATCACTTTCGCGTTAAAGTCGTTAATACTTAAAAAAAATATGACACGACAAATAGAAGTAGGTACTTTTAATATTAAATTCCAAGATTTGTTTACATAGTTAGTTGCTAAAACCTCCTTTCTAAAGAGAGGCATATGTCCAGCAGTAGACGAGCTGACTAAGTAACAGTTTTTAAATTCCCGGGAACAGTCCCTCACTGTTTTGGATATAAGATACTCATGACCTTTCCTGTACTTTACGCCTTTTGACAATGTGTAAGTTTGCAATAATCAAACGCGGTGACGATAGTGACATATAGTTCAGAACAGTTTACTTAACTGGAGTTCTGATCAGATCAATCACAAGGATAATCTTTTAACAGCATTTATTTAACATGAACAGCCAGTAATGCACACTGGTGTATTACTGGCTGTTCATGTTAAATATGTTAAATGTTAAATAAATGCTGTGTGGTACAAGTTCCTATCTATTAGTCACTTAACAATGGGAGTGTATGAACTGAACCGTGGGAATGGATATTGCGAGGACAACATACTATTAATGGTGTTCCATTATACGGGTATTTGTGAGAACTTTACACTCCGTACCTACGTTATAAACCATACTTACATTTTATTGCATCACTTTTACGGGTCGACACTAGCCGAGGATTAGCATCATCATTTTTTTAAATCAATACTGGGCATATTACAATACGTACAATTTCCTACATTAGGGGATTCCCTACATTAGTAGCAGTACTGACTTAAAAAAAACGTGTGCGTCCCGGGACGCCCAACTGAAGTGATAACTTAAACTAATCTAAGTTGAGTTATTTAATATTGAAATTGTTTAACTTGAGAAAAGCTTAGGTTATTACTTAAAGGGGAATGCCCAAACAACTAAGGAAAATAGTATCGGTATAAATATTACTGTGACAAGATGAAAACTATTGTCTAAGATTCGTATGAATATGTAGTTTAAGAAAAAATAAATAACATATGCGTAATTTGCCGGGTTTCAGAGATATAGAGGGGGGATTTACATAGCCCCCGTTGTAAGTTAAAATATGAAACTTATTATTTAGCATGCAATTAATAGGAAGATTAAGATTTAATTAGAATACAAAAGATGTGCACAATACAATTTAAATACTAAGTTACTAAAAGTAACAAGTATCTACTCCATTAGGAGTGAATTAAATACCTACCTAATATTTTGCTATGTTAACTGTAGAGAGGAAACCTACAGACTACAGTTGCATATAATTAGGCACAATTAAATAACTACTCAAGTTGATCAAAACAGAAGCTTTATTTAGAGAAAGAATAAGGAACACAAAAAAAAGAACAGACATGCTAGCACGATCGGAGTGTTACCACTGCCTCACAGAAAACTAAATGTTTGTTGTTGCTCTTTACCAAGTTAGTGAGGTAACCGGAGCCCAAACCCCCTGATCCTGTGTGGAAATATCAACTATTCAAAGAGGCTGCCCTTTGAATAGTCGATGCCTCCCTACTATTACTTATACTATTCAAATATTCTCTGTACACAGGTTTGTCCTCAAGGGCAGTGCGAAACTTGTTAACAAGAGCACTACCTATTCTGAAATCCTCCATAAAATGTTTTGCAGCTCTATTAAAAAAATCCTGTCTAAATAATTTGAAATCCTGTTTCAATCTGCTGTTTACTACCTCAACCACCAATCTACACATTGTGACACAACGTGATTTGTTAGCTTACTCTGTGGTAAGCCGACGGTGGCCTTCTAATAAGGATTCAGGTAGATGAGTTTGATAACCATACTCTTGTAATTGAGCCACCACATTTCTAAAGCCTCTGTCAAGAATAAAGACGTCTCCTTCTCGAAAATATTGTCGCATAGGCCCATAAGACCTGGTAAATTCTGTGCTCATAATTGTAGCATCGTTGGTGGTTGCTTTATATGGCCACAGGCAATCTAAAATATGACCGTTACAGCACACAATCATAAATGGTTTCACCAGGTTAGTATATTTATGCAAACTGTAAGTTTGCTTTTTTAATAAATAATTGCTACTACTCTGCACATAAACATATGTAGCATCACATATGGTGATTGCTGGTTTGGTCTCGACAGGCATTGTTGTGTTTCCATAAAAACCTTCAGGAATCACCATACTGGTTCTTGCTACTTCTTGAACAGTCATGTGACTGAGACCCAAATAGTGAGGAACTAAATGTAATGTCATAACATCTCGCACTTTATTCATCTGACGTTCAAGTGTACTTCGTGGCATATTAAAAAGACCACACAACCTCTCATAACTGTCTCCACTTTTTAATTTGGTTAAATAAATGCACAATGCTACACTAGCATCTGGCACTTTGTCATGTAATTGTGGTATATTGTTCAGTAATTCATAAAGTTGAATAGCATTCAGACCTATCCAGTAATAACATAAGTTAGGTTGAATCATGTGGACATTACTAAAATTAATTTGCTTTGTTGACAGTCTTTCCAACATAGCCAGTAGGTTATCCATTTGAGCACAAGTGATATCAGATTAATTTACTTGTAATTCATTCCAGCAATCATAGTGTAAATGAAAGTTACAGATCCGAGCACTTTGAGGAATATAAATTCGATAGAGACTTAAGACTTCTTCTTTCAATGCTCTAGGTATTAACAAACATTCCATATTGCCACAGTTAGAAAAAACACAAAGCCTTGTTGAAACGGCTACACATTTATAGGTCTGTGATATTATTTTTGGCCCTTGTTGCCTTCTTTGAGGCTGGTATTGGTTGTGCTGAGGTAATGGTGGTGGGTTAGGAATATGTACAGCATTATCTTCCTCATCAGGCACAGGTACATCATTATTATGTACAGGTACTTCCACATCAGGTACAACAACTTCCATAGTAAGTATAGGTCCATCAGCATTTGGTGCAAGAAATTCAGCACTGGGTACAGGTACTTGAGAGTTCTCAACTACAGGCTCATCTTCAGCATGCATTATATGATTAGCATCATGTTGCAATTGCCATTGTATGGTTCTTTTCGCTGCCATCCAACATGCTCTGCATACTCTATCCAAAGACTGCATCTGGACAAGAAAGATTAATAGTTAGAGATGGTTTTAAGTTACAGTTATGATTATTCTCCTATGAGATATATAATAAAAATTGAACATCTATTATTGAGTAATTTAATTTTTATTTATTGGAAACAAAATGATATACATTAAGTTTTGATTCTACAATTAAATCAAAGATTATAATGTATTTTATTGCAGAGGGTAGGTGTCCTTATGGTTACAAGAGGTATTTCATGAACAACAGATGGGATGCAAACAAAACTAGTTACATAAACTTATAATCATTTCATTTGTTTACATACCAGGATGCATACCATGTGGAGATATCCGATTAAGAATAATATTCCTTTCTTCAACTTCAATGATTGCCAACTTCCATGCTGCAGTCGAATTGAACAGTTAATGCACCGACGAACGGAACACGAACTTTCCGTTATGGTTATAATGGAGTCTCTATCTCACTTTCACAATCAGTTTTAACAAAGAGTTTCTGCCTTACAGTTAGTACAAAAAATATAGTCTTTTTCTCAAAATACGTGTAGTTACTACAATGAATCACAATAACACACGGAAAAATTACAAATTCAAACGACTTACGACGCTGAACTGTTTGACAACAAACAATAATCATACAGCTACAGTGTTGCCATAATTATAAAAACTATATTGATTGAAATTAAAAATCGAAATCGACCACATACGAGTTTGTATTCGGTGCAATGAGTTAAAAGAAATATAATTTCTTTTGATTATTAAATCTGAAAAATAAAGACAAGTATCCATTCCCAATAAACATAATGCCAATTGCTTCCTCAGTTTATGATATTACGGTTTTATACACCTAGTTTAAAAGCTAATATTTAATTTGTAGTTTCGAGTCAATGACAAAAAAAATTTTTTTTCATAAATTATATTTTTTTAATAAGCATTAAAGTATTATCATGCTATTATTAAATAATTACGATTGATTCATGTTTAAACAACTGGTTATTTTGTATAAAAAAATCGATTTAATGTAATTATTTGTGAAATGATGTTACCACTACAAAAAATCCCTAACGGAAAATTGAGCGACTGATAAATAATAATTAATATATGAATAAAACAACTAATATTTCATGTTCATTTATCCGGCAAATGTGAGACGCCACATTAGGTTATAAAATCATCATAAATATAAACAAAAATTATCACTGTCACGAACTTGTGTCACAGTTTAAATAATAATCATCAAGCGATACCACATATGGGCATTCCCCTTTTATGTAAAGCCTGCCTACCGCTGCCGTATGCGTGAGAGGAAGGGAAGCCAGACAGAATGGCGTCGTAACGCGTTACGTAACGAAGCGGTTTACCCTCCCATAAGAAGTCATCACTTCAAAAATGATGATGCCAATCCTCGGCTAGTTTCGACCCGTAAAAGTGATGTAATAAAATGTCAGTATGGTTAACTATTGCATAGGTCAAAGTTTATCACTTTCCTTCATTCATCAGACAAATGCTTTAAATCTTTTACTGGCTTGTCCT